ACCTCATTTAGTTTCCATACCTTTTTATTTTTTTGGGTGAATAGTTTACATTGGTCTTAAAAAGCGGAAAATCCATTGTAAAATGCTCAATCTCATCCCTTAAATTCAAAATGGGTGGTTGTAAGCGTGTCATTGAATAGACACAAAGTTTCAAAAAAAAAATTCTTGAACTTCAAAACTCATACCAAACCATCATATTTGACAACTAATGAGTGGGAATAGTTGTGACCTATTTACCAAAAAGAAAAAATAGCTATGATCTCTTCGTACAAAAAATAAATGATCTCTTTGTAGACAATCCCAATAATTTTAGTTGCAGTTTGTAACACATTTAGTGGAGAAACCGTGTCCAAGTTTGCCTGCATCCTAGACTTGAAACGGAAAAAACAAAGAACCTAGCCTATCCGTATCTACCCATTGATGCCAAACTTGCAACATCGATTGTAATTCTCTATTAAGGGTTATGTTCTAGTTGCAACTATGATTATAGAGGTTTTTTCTATTAATATTTCAAAACCCAGATTGTTGGAGCAAATTGCTCACTCATAATTTGTGTCGGATTGTTGGATCGACGATCTAGATCAGGTCTAGATTGGTCTGAAATAATAACCCAAAAAATATTAAAAATAAATTAAATAAAAAATCAAAATAAGGAGTTTATGAGATAGGGATTCAGAGGGAACTTAAAAACATTATTAAGTTTAAAAGGAAAAAAACAAAAAAAGAAAATTTATAAATGGCATTTTCAGGGGAATTAGGCTGGGGCTCATGCCATCTTGAAACTGCTTCGGTCCTGACTAATGCCCAACCAAATTGGCGATCTGGATTGGTAATCGCTAAATTTTAAAACATTGGTTTCTACTATTATTTCGGGTGGCATTCTAGATGACAAGTAGAAGGAAAAAGTTTGTATAAGGTTGCAAACTTATATTGTTGAGGAAAGGTGCATATCAAAAATCCTACATTGCAGAGTGTTCCCACATAGGAGAACCCTCCAACTGATCATTTCAACGTTGAGATGAATGGACATGAAGAAAAAAAAGAATTCTAAGTTTAAAAAATTGTACATCTAGTAAAAAATCATCTGGACCGTCTGTTTTCCAGATTTGCAAGTGTTTATTAATCTGCTCGATCTGTACCATTTTTAAGAGTTTTGACACCGAAACGACATCTCTAAATAAAATTTATTGGTGCACCTGACTTCTAAAGTATAAGGAAGCAACCTTATAAAAACCTCACCCCAAGTAGAATGAGCATATTTTGCCTCTTTCGATGCCCACGGTTTCCCATTTTCGGTGCATGTACACTCAAAAATATATCAGCAAAAATAGAACGTGTCGGGTTATAACTAAAACGTACACTTGGAAATAAGTCTCAACCTTATACTATAGAAACAAAATACACCTAAAAAAACCATAGGGAAAGGTTTTTTGAATTTTTAAAAACCCTTCAATTCGATCATCTTGTCATTTAAATGTATGGTTATGAAAAAAAGAAGATTTTAAGTTTTAGAAATAATGTATTGTTAAGCCGTCTATTTTCTTGATTTTCAAATGTTTATCAATCTGCCTGATCAACATTATTTTTTGAGCTTTGAATTTTATAAAAAAAAATTACATTATTTTAGGCTATTATTGGTGTTTTTAGTATTCAAAATACATTTTTCGACACAATTTAGAGGTCCGTCCTACTTTTGAAGTTGGCGCATTATACAAACCATACCCAAAATGTAAGATAGCATAATTTTCATAGAACTAAAAATGAATTGCCGTTTATACGTCAATCCAAGGAGAGAGAGAGAGAGAGAGAGAGAGAGAGAGAGTTAGTTTGTCGTCGTCGCTAGTTCTTTAGTTTGGTTGGTTCGGTCGTTGTACTACTTCTACTTCGTAGTTGTAGTGTCTTTATACTAAACTAACAAAGTATTTACTCTATGATCGTCGTTA